ATTACAAACACTGCCTTAATGCAATAACTTCTTCTGTGGACCTAGAAAACATAATGCAATTGTTTGGAATGAGTTATACTATACTGTCTAGAGTATATAACCAAAAGTACCTATTATTAACAGAGTTGTCTAATGCAGTCAATATAGTTGAACAAAATGATGAGACAATACAACCCATGTTATACTGGTAACTTACACGATATATCATCAAGCATAGATTTTGAATTTTGTATGCCTTTTGGAAATGCTATGCAATTCTCATGTAAGAGATTTGCTTGGCTTACCACATCTTCAAGGTACTTGGTGTACTTCTTGTAATTAATAACTGTACTACACTTATGGACTACTTTCAGAATTTATATGTTAGAAGTGACCATTCAAAAATTTCATTTGAATCACTGCATGGCTGTACATATTATGAACCGTGCTTAGATCATACATTCTTAAGAAATGCATGACAGTTAGATAAAGGAATCTGCTTTATAAAATAATAATGAAAACTGCAATTGTAACCAATTACAATACTACACCTCTAAAATATCAGTATATGCTATGTTATATTTATGTTATGATTCTCAGTAAGCAAAAGTACTAGTATATAAGTCAAGCAAAATGCTGTATTAACTTACGATGATGTACTATTGTAGACTGTCAAGGTTTTAAAGGATATATGCGTATATGTTTTTGTTCTGTCCTTTGTTTGCCATCAAGGACATACATGTGCGTTATTTTGTGGGGAACAAAAGCCAGTGAGTTAACCTGCCGGTGATATGTTCGGTTAGAGACACCCTTCCCATTCTCTGACTAGCCCGACTTTACGCTCTCAGAGCGTGATCAAGAGCTGCTTCAACGGATTCTTCAAAAAAGCTTTGATTAGTTTTCACAAAGTACCGAAGAATATTTTTATAATCCTTTTTCTCTTCATTTTTAGATCCAAACAATTCAATACCGGTTTTAATCACATACAGCATTCTCTCTCTAGGGTCCAACCGTCCTTTATATGCCACATGAAAAAATATATATGTGTAATCTAAGTCCGGGAGATATTCTTCCATCACCTCACGTATCAAACCATCAACTTCAGAAGATTCAGAGTACTCTGAGGACTCCGAACCAAGTTCTGAGGATTCAGAATATTCACAGGATTCTTTATCATCAGAGGAAGATGGGGGATCCAAACCAAGTGCAAGCTTTACTTTCTTGTGCAAAAAGGAAACGATGCTCTGCATCGTGGGCTCTTCCACGTCACTGTACCGGCCGCATTTAACCCAAGAAGCTATTTCTTTTGAGACGTCAAAATAAAGTTCTGCAAACTCTTTTTTAGGCATCGCTTTGAATTGAAATGTCCCACTTTGCTTCACCAGGCCTTCAGGGGGAGATTCTGATTTCTCTTTGAATTCTTCACTTGACGATGAGTTTATTTCAGCTGTTATCAGCTTCTTTTGATACGATTCTACTGCTGGGTTGTCGCAAATTTCCCGGACTTCGCCTGCCAGGTTTTGCAACTGCTGTGGATATTCGATGACAGCTTCTTCGAGCAGATTAAACTCTGGGATAAAATAATGCGGAAGAAACTTCGTCTCAAGACTGTGGTGAAGTTTCTCCAGTAGCATCATCATGCACGATGCGCGGTTATTCTCATTCCATTCTTCCACGCCTGTATTCTCAACCGTCCATAACAGTGTTGTCTTGAGAACGTACGACGAGATTATCTTGGGCTCTTGGTTTTGATTCAAAACCTTGTAGAATAACTTGAGACATCTATAGCACTCTCGTTGTATGTCATTCAGTTCCTTACTCAAAAGTAACTCGGCGTGTGAGAAGGACAAACGAAAATCGAGATGTGGTGTTGTGTTGCCATGTTTCGGTGACTTGAACACCAAATGGAATCCACCTTTCCTAATATTCGATAAGGCTTCAAAACTTGGCCATTTTCGATCACGCTCAAACCAGCCCTGTGCCACTTGAGGCCATCCTTTGACTTTGAAAGAAGGTACGACATCGAATCCTCTTTTCATTGGTTTCTCCTGAAGCACTTTCTCTTGTTTTTGCATGTCCCAAGGTTGACGAGCTTGAAGAGATTTCATGAACGTCGATAAAATGTCTGTCATAAATTCTTCATCAAAGGTGTCTTTGTCTTCTTGTTCCGCTTCATACAACTCATACTTTAGCTCTTTCCATATATCGATCGACTGCAAAATCGTATTGAAGAATTTCTCGACACCAATTGCTTTCAACAGTTCCTCATTAGTGGGATTTGCTTTCACAGTCGAAATAATATCATATACCTTCCTGGTACAGGGAGTTGCATCTACAACAGAAATTTCTTTGGCTGAGAATCGTTGGATATTTGGCACTTTAGGATAATCAGGTACCACGTCTGCAATGGACTCAATGGGTATTTGATGCTTTGTTCCAGACGATTTTGAAAGAAATTCTAACGTAAAGGAAGGACCGTCATTCTCGAGACCTTCAGATAGATTAGGCACTTCAAAATCTGGCGTGTGGTGTTGCAAAAACGATCCAAAAACCTTCATTATGATCTTTATTAACATGGATGCCCACCCAAAGAACGTCGAGTCCATTTCCTTAAGAGTAGAAGTAGCGACAAAGTTCGTCTCTCCATGCAAACATTTCTGCAGTAGTGGATGATCTTTACCACGAACACGAACAAAAGCAGGCTCACCATCGACATAGTCTAACATGGACTCGTCAAGTATTGCTTCCTCTTCTGTTGGGCACAGCATAATATCAATATCTCCCATATCGTACCGAGTGCAGCAACCCAGGCCTTCAACTGAGCTCCCATAGATATGCATTTCAAATGGCATAATCACTGATGCCAAAGTATGAATCATTGGAATCTTAGAACGGAAAAATCTATCCTTAATTTTTGGGATCAGCATTTCACAACGAGAAACGAACGACTCTATGCTTTGCTTCAAGTATAACTGTACCAAAGTGAGCCGACCCATGTCTTTAAAAAAATCATTCAGTTCAACAGAATACTTGGAGTTTGCCATTATCTTGACAATATGTTAGCAAAGAGCAATTGACGGACGAATAAAGCCCGTCTCCGGTTGAGATGAAATTTTATTGTATACTTTGGGGAATCCCCTACTTTCATATTCAAAAAATTCGCAAGTTTGCAGGGTTTTTTTTTGGTATACATTAAAAATCCTGGCTTATATTTTGCTTGTGTATCCCTAGAATGCTACAGAATTAAAATCCAACGTTATTTTCGTCAATGAAAAACGATTTTGGATCTACTTGTATTTCTTTGAAAAATTCTGAGTCATTATTAAAATAGACTGTTGAATCACAATCACATCAGGTGACTGTCATATGACGACCAATATATACGCTCCACTTGTTAGCTGTAATTTTTTCTCAAGGTAAAAGATGTGTTAGAATCTCTAAAACGTGCAATAGATAATTGATATTGTAAAAAGCTGCTTTCAAGGTGTCATTATTAACAGAACCAAATCCACTCTTTCAGTCACTCACTGGGTTACTTTATAAATCAACTTCTTCTTGCTTTTATTGCATCATTTTATGTCCTGTGAAATAAAAACTAACTATTTGCTGAATGATAGTTNTTCGTCAATGAAAAACGAATTTCTGACTCATCATTGAAATAGAAGTTGAATACTACGGTTCGCTTGTTCCATGTTATGTGCTGATCAGCGAAATACATAGAGAGAGGCCTTACCTTTTGTGCACAACTTCTAATATGTTCAATATTCTGCGTTGTTCAGCTGCTAACATGCAACTGATTAACATCAGAAATTCTCTTTGACAAGTATCAGTGTCATAATTTGTATTTCTTGTTTCGACGATCCGATCAACTTTACTTTGCCCATTTCTTATTCCAAGGATACGAATACATTTTTCTGCTTGTTTATTGCTAGAATTTTACAGAATTAAGATGAAACGTTTTTCGTCATTGATAAACAAATTTCTGACTTATCATTGAAATAGAAGTTGAATACTACGGTTCGCTTGTTCCATGTTATGTGGTGATCAGCGGATTACATAGAGAGAGGCCTTGTGCACAAAGCACAACTTTGCGCGTCAACTTTGTGCGTCGCTTTAGCTGCTAACGGCTGATTGAATATCAGAAATTCTCTTTGACAAGTATCAGTGACATAATTTGTATTTCTTGTTTCGACGATCAGCGAGTTTTCCTTGGAATGTTTTTTATTGGCAAGATATCCTTGCTCGTGCAGACGAGGAACAAGTTTTCTTTTTTATTCGTCTGTGAAACAATTACTACTAGTCAGTGTTTAATAGTAACTATTAGGGTGTAGTAGGCTACCAAAAGGCAAAATCAAAACCGTTGACTAATTTAGTTTGCCGCATGTCATACGTTAAACTATTGCGAGCTAATAGGGGGTCTTATTTCACAGACGGATGAAAATGACTCTAGTATGGAATCCGGCAGTGAAAATGATTAATAGAAGATTACGACGGTTGGACTGGCCAGCACCATGGACTACTTCAACACTATGGACTACAATTCAACACTCAACTGATTCTAGTTCTTCTATGTCTATACTGTATACCCGTGTATCATTAATTGTGAGAATAAACCTTTATTAAGAAAGTAACCATTTGTAAAGCATTACATTGATTGATAAATTTCTGAAATTTC